CTTTACAAAAACCCAACGTGTGCCCAGCACGCGTACCAATTCTTCTTGCTGCACCTTCCGACACAATGTCCGCAACCTGCAGTTTGGTCAGTTGCGACAACTCTGTCCGAATGGCTTCGGTCAAGCGATCGATCTCCAGAGCTACCCCAGTGGTCTTACGCACGGGAGCAGCCGGAATTTGCTGCCAAATAGAGACACCGTTCCACTCGCACTCATGCCAAGTACCATCACCAGTCGATTGCTCCAGCTAGGCAAGAAGGCATTTTCTGCGTGGATCAACATCAACTCTGCCAAAGCTTCGGGGGGGTCCAAGTCTGGGTGGTTGACAAGCAAAGTTGCCATCTGACGAGACATCGTACATATTGACATCTTGTGCCTCTACCGCTGGGGCGTCCACTGCCACAGCCTGCGGGTCTGCCTGCTTTCCTGTCAGTCGTCTTTTTGGCGGTGGCGGTGTCACTACCTGAAGCGTTGCTAGGGCCTGGGTCTTCAACTTCCAAAGGGATTCCATCAGCCAATCCAGTGCGCATACCCACAGGAATTCCTGGCGCAACACCACTTCGCTTGTCGGCTTGGTGCTGCATCCATTTCCTGTACCTGGTCTTGCACCCTCAGGCTTGCCATGAAAGGATCCTGTCTCGCAAATTTGCTTGCAAGCCGTACCTGGAGTGCCACCGTTCTGCCGCACCCATTTTACAGGGGGGCCTCCAGGAGGAACCTGGATAGAACCTTGCGGCTCATCTGGCACCATGGGTTCATATAACGGCAACTCGGCCGGCCTCCTTTCAATCGGAATTCGTGAAGCCTGAGGTTGCAACAACGCCTCAATGTCCGAGAACGATATAACCTTAGCAGCTTGGAAGCGCTTCATCTCAGTTTCCCCGCATGGAAGAGCAACAATGCCGCCACCTGAAGTTGACCACGGGCCAAGATAGACAACCTCAGCCAAATTCTCTAAAGGATGTTCATGATGGTCCCTCTCCAAAGGTTTAGCCAACAAGAGACACCCGAAAGGAAAAGTATTTTGCTTGGGGGAGGACCTTCTCCGGCGCGCCCTGTCTACGGGCGCTGCTGAGCTGTCTGGGGATCTCCCATACAAATTGGACATGCGTGCAGTGTGCTTAATTGCGTAAGCTATCAAAGGAGCCTCAAGTGCAACTCTGACACCTAGCTTGCCCTCCAAGAACAAGACATTTGCAGCAACTCCTTGCTTGATTGTGGCTACTCCTCGCTCAGCTCTCCCGTTCGCCTGGAGACGCCCCGGTGGCGCATCGGCGATGGTCCCGAGACCACTGGGCAGTTCTGCGCCTTCAGCGCATTTCTGAAAAGTGAACCTAGAAGATTTTCTCCGTCAAGGGAAAGTTCAACGGTTTTCCCAGTCAAGCCCACATCCTTGAAAGCTTGGTTCAGCTCAGCCACATTCCCACCCATGTCCTCACTCAAAACTTGCCAACATGGATGTTGACAACACAAGCAGCACCAAGAATCGCGTTCTTCCAAGGTACGCGAAATCACTGGCCACTTCATATAACCCCCGCTGATGTCTCAGTCGACGGGCTCTCATGCAGGACCGACAGATGGGATAAAGGAAAATGTCTCTGTGCCAAGTGATTGTTCAACGCATCCCTGGCAAGCTCAAGATCAACTTCTCCTGCAGCGCAATCTCCAGCAACGCGCCCAAAGTCTTGCATCCCTTCTTCCAAGCCAGGAAGCGGGTATCCCTCAGACGGATCTCCCTCGTCTTCCCCTACTTCTGCCTCCGCCTCCAGTGCGCATAGGAGTTCTGACTGGTCTTCCGTCTCATCCGGGGGATCTTCCACCTTCCAGCACGCGCTCCGCAGAGCTCGACACAAAAAGCACAAACTACCTGGGTAGCTGGGCACTCTTCGGTGACTGCCAGCACATGTTCCTCAGTCGCAAATGCCCTCCTTAGGATAGGCTTCACCGGTGTCCTCACGACACGCAGGGGCCTCTTTAAGAGGCTGCCACACTGACACCTCAAGCAAGCCAACTCTTGACCCAGCCACCTTACCTTTCACACGCTTCTCTGACAACTGGTCCACTTCCATGTCCGACGCGCCCTCAGACCTGGCTCGGCCTCCTGTCCTAGACGAGGGGCTTCCTGAGCGGCTCTTCCTTGGGCCGGACGCTTGCGCAAATCCACGCACGATCATTGAGCCACAGTGGCACAACATGCTTGCCTTTCTCAAGCCTCGACCCTTCAATGACAAGCACGCACTTCCAACCATGTGTGGCAATCACGAACGGGGACAGCACGTGAAACTCAATGTCCGCGATGAAGCAACGAGTCAAGACGAAAGCACGACCGGAAAAATGCACTCTGAGATCAACGACGCCATGTGTGCGAATCAGCTCACCATTCGCGGCTCGAAGCTCTGTTGAGAGCCCCTTGTGAACATGAACCACTTCGTATGCTGACCTGTGTCTTTCAGCTAAGATGTGGCATGTGGCGCCCGAATCTACCAACCACTCACGCGGCGGATCCGGTTTCAGATCCTCATACCCCCTTTCTAGCCGGTTCACATGGCTTGCGCTCAGGAGTTCTTCGTCCCGAACATGACCAGATGAAGCCATCATTTCTTCCGCGGACTCATCGGCCTCATCCCATTAGGAATGATCTCTTCGCCATCCTCTGTGTGGCCGTAGTAAGTGTCGTCATCCATTTCGCGAAGCCATGACTTTCCACCCTTCGTGGCTTTCCCTTCACCTTTTCCTTTTGGGCGGTCTTTGGGCCGACCTCTCTCAAAGCCCTTGTCACGCCTTGACGTGCCTCCTGGGCTGCTCGCCCGGCTGCCATACTTGCCACCCTTTCCGTCAGGTGAACTTGCTCCTGGAGCATCGCCCTTCTTTCCGTCTTTGGCCCGCGGCCGCCTTGGCGCAGGACAGTCTCGTGCAAAGTGCCCCTTGCTGACCGCGGTTGTAGCACTTCTTGCCGTCAGCGGGCTTCGGCCCGCAGCCTTTGCCAGAATCCAGCCGGTTCGCATCTTCTGGTTGTAGTGCATGACCCCTCTTTGGATCCCAAGCAAAGTCTCATCGCAATGCAACTGGAGATACTCTGACACATTCCGGGGCATGCTGCTCAGGTACAAGATGTACTGATCTCAGTCAGCTCTAGGCCTCGGAGGCCTGCAGCCATCTGGGAAGTGGACAACATTCTGTGGCAGCGATAAATTTCCACTTCAATCGGGCGGCACGCATTCTGCAAGTCACCTCCAACAACAGGAACCTTCAGCTGCAGGAGCTCCTGTCATGGCTTCCGCGCGGTTCCGAACACTGAACTCTCCACATAGTCACCTCCACAGCTCGTAGCCCGTCCATGGTCCCATGGACCGTGGCATTTAACCCAACCTGGCGGATGAAAAGCTCTACTTTGGCCACACCACTGAAGGCCTGGGCCAACAAGTGGTAAAGTCTCTCACTGCTGAAGCGCGTGTCTTCCAACACTGCCGAAGTTCCTGGCTTCACGCAGTTCGCCTGGATAGCTGCTAGGGATCAGCGCCAGCCATGCGATCAAGTTCTCCGCATAGACCATGAAGCCCAGCACTTCAGAGCCTCGATCCCTCTAGTGGGACACTGCAGGTAGGGGCATCGGTGGTATCCATTTCATCTCCATAGGTTGCCCCGGCAGGGTGACCTGGCACAGTACCAGTCCTTGCAGGCGGGGGCGGCGCTTGGCCGGTCTTTGGCTGCGTCCCTTGCGCTACGTTTACCATCAAGCTTGTGACAGCCTGCATCATGGTGTTCACCTGTTGGCTCTGCAAAGCCAAGACTCGCAACAGATCTTCCATCCTGGTGCGCTCATCCCTGCCATCCCCGGATGGCTCTCTTCACCAGCAGCTGGGCTGAACTGTTTCCGCCTTGGGCTCCAGGATCAGTTGCGTCAGCACCGTCACGGTCACCTCCCTGAGGTCCTGGCCACAAGTTTGCTGCACTCGCGCCAAACCGTCTTCTGAACGGTGACCAAGTGGTCTGGTCAGCCATGACTTGTCTTCAGAAGCCCTGTCTATTGCCAGGGCCCCGCTACCATGTGAAACAGCAGAGTCGGCGCCTTTTCTTTTGCAAGCGCACTAGCCTTGAGCCAGCGTCAATTGAGTCGTGAGCCGCTCTTTCGGCCTCTCATGCATTGCAACAACAATCTTGAAGCTTCTTCGTTCCTGCTAACTGACACACACACACACACAGGACAGCATTTTGAGGCAAGCAGAACTTACAAGTGACCCCTTCGCAGACCTCTTTGCATGCTAGCGCAGAGCAGTTCACACATGCTGAAAACTGTCATTTGTGCATTTAGAGCCACGGCCAGCGTGCGTACTGCAACATGCAAACGGCTGCTGAGAAACATGTATACACATATGAAAGCAACGTCCCCCTTAGACGACAGCCGCGCATCCATGCATCACATCTCCTCAGACTGTGTCACTCATCCAGTCGGATGCATAGGCAAGGACTGCCTTGACACGTGTCATCCTTGGAGATCAATCTGCAGAGTTGCTGGAGCGACAGCTCCCATTCCGTAGGCTTTTGATCGTTCATCACAGGGGGATCAAATCGAGTTTCCACGACTTCAGGCAAATCGCAAATCAAGTCATGTCTCCAAATGCCTGGGCACATTGGTCAACAAACTTGCGTAGTTGTCTACAGAGTTGTACAGTTGACACACAAAGTTTAAAGGGTGCAATCGGCTGCTTGCGCATTGCGCAGCCAAAGGCACTGTCACGTGCTGCGCCTTGCGCGAGCTGCCATGTGTACTGCAGGTCTGCTATTATTCACACCAATTGGCGTCTGTAAATGGAACCAAGTCTTCCAGAGCTTCCATGGAATCGTCTGTGGGAGAGTAATGGTTTTATGTTTGAATTTTCCGTTCTGTTTGGAGAGGGAGCCGTATTGTGCAAGCCTGGCAACGGGTGCAATCAGAGAGACACACTCCATGTAGGTTTGGAGATCCCTGACCGCGAATCGACCAAATTCTCTCCCCATAGGCCGGGGAGGCCTCGGACGACAGCACCGTGGTGAACATCATGAAGTCCAAGGCGGGGATCTCACAAAACGTGGCATCCACAGGCACCAGTTGGGATTGGTGGTAAAAAAACGTCCCAGTACGTCCTCCCAAGGCCTTGCCAGCATATATATATATATATACACTATGTATATATTTACACGCTGACGCGACACAGCCGGCCACCGGGCACCTGGCCCTGCCCGTTCTATCACTTCCCTTTCCGGTAAGTCCGGTGAGTAGATGTTAAGATTTAAAAATTCCAAAAACTTTGAGATTCTAAGGGTCTCAGATTTGAAGACGTTTGGAATTTAAGGTTTCAATGGTATAAGAATTAAGGGTTGAAGATTCAAAGATTTAAGGTTTTTGAAGGTTATAACAGCCAGGCCATTGCCCAGCCATTTTCCATCCATTATCAGATTTCGAAGGCTTTAAGATTTTTTTGTGAGATTTTCAGATTTGGCGACTTTCGGAATTTAAGATTTTAAGATCTTAAGATGTCAAGACTTCAAAATTTCAAGATTAAGAGTTTAAGGAATTTAGAATATAGCCCGGATTGAAGGAATTTTATTATATTTTACTTGTTCATGAATTTAAGATTTTCAGATTGCAATAGTTCGAGATTTAAAGAGTTTAAGTTTTTGAAGCTTTTAAGATTCTGAGATTTTAATATTTTGAGAATTTCGGAATTTCATATTTTAAGATTTTAACATCTGAAGATTCAAAGACATGAGGGTTTCTGTCACTTCCCTGTCCTGTAAGTCCGATGAGTAGATGTTAAGATTTCAAAATTCGAAAAACTTTGAGATTCTAAGGGTCTCAGATTTGAAGACTTTCGGAATTTAAGGTTTCAATGGTTTAAGAATTAAGGTTCTAAGATTCGAAGATGTAAGGTTTTTGAAGGTTATAACAGCCAGGCCATTGCCCAGCCATTTTCCATCCATTATCAGATTTCGATTGCTTTAAGATTTTTTTGTGAGATTTTCAGATTTGGCGACTTTCGGAATTTAAGATTTTATGATCTTAAGATGTCAAGACTTCAAAATTTCAAGATTAAGAGTTTAAGGAATTTAGAATATAGCCCGGATTGAAGGAATTTTATTATATTTTACTTGTTTATGAATTTTGGATTTTCAGATTGCAATAGTTCGAGATTTAAAGAGTTTAAGTTTTTGAAGCTTTTAAGATTCTGAGATTTTAATATTTTGAGAATTTCGGAATTTCATATTTTAAGATTTTAACATCTGAAGATTCAACGACATGAGGGTTTTAAGAAGTCAAGATTCGAAGACTTGAGGATGTTTATATCTTCAGGTTGCAAGATTCTATTTTCTAAGGTTGTAATTTTAAGATCTTAAGGTTTCAAGGTTTCAACAATTCAAGATTAAGAGTTTAAGGAAGTTAAAATATAGCCCGGATTGAAGGAATGTAATATTTTAATAATTTAAGATTTTCAGATTTCAAGTGTTCGAGGTTTAAAGAATTTAAGTTTTTAAAGCTTTTTCAGATTCCGAGATTTTAAGATTGGAAGACTTTAGGAATTTCATATTTTAAGAGTTTAAGATCTCAAGATTCTAAGACAAGGTTTTTAAGGTTTGAAGATTCGATTACTTTAGGAAGTTTATATATTTCCAGATTTGAAGATTCTAAGTTCTAATATTTTAAGATCTTGAGATTCTAAGATTGATTGTTAGATTTTAATTTGAGATTTTAAGAATCTAACACTTTAGAATTTTGAGATTTCAACCCAGGCCATTTTCCATCCACTTTAGATTTTAAGATTTTCAGGTTGCAAGTTTTCGGCAAAATTGGCCCGACTTAGGGGACAACATCCCCAGCACCACCCGCATCGCCAGCATGCATAACATCATCCGCATCATCCAGGCTGATGCTGGCAATGCTGGGGGTGTTGTCCAGTATTAGGCACCCCCTAAAAATACTCGTTTTTGGGCGCTGCGGGGAGATGCTACAAAAAACCCCGAAAATCGCCTAAACCAATCCGCGAATCCTTCGCTCCTTATAAGGGCAGGCCCAGCACAAAACGTATGCGCATGGTCCGCGCATGGTCGGCGGCATGGGGCGCGCCCTTATACCTGAAGGTAAGCCCTAGCGGGCTTTGGCCTGCGGCCCGATCACGTCCGGTGGCCGGATTTAAGCGCTTCGCGACACAGCCGGCCACCGGGCAAATGCACGTGGGGCGCTGGCCCTGTACCTGAAGGTAGGCCCTGCGGGGCTGAAGGCCCCGGTGGCCGGACTTGCGTTGCTGACAGACCACCGGCCGCGCCCACGTGTAAAAACGCAAACGTGTGCACTCAGAAGCCTCACTGCTAAGGGGGTTTCCGACATGTTCATACATTTTTCAGGGCAAAACGGATGTGACCACCACAAAAGGGGGGACACCCAAAGACCCATTTTTCACGTTTTCGGCAAGATTGGCCCAACCTAGGGGACAACATCCACCGCATCACCAGCATCATCTGCATCAGTGCCCGCCATGGATGCGGATGATGCAGGCAATGCCGGGGATGTTGTCCACCATGGGCACCCCCCAAAAAACGCTCGTTTTTGACTCCGCGGGGAGTCGGTCCAAAAACAACCCCTTTTCGCCCAAAACACACCCGAACATCCTTTCCCCCCTGGCAGCGAGGTCACAGCGCAAAAGTATAGCGCATGGTCGGCGCATGGTCGGCGGTGGTCGGCGGCACAGGGCGGCCGGCCCTGTACCTGAAGGTAGGCCCTCCGGGCCTAGGCCTTCGGCCGTATCACGGACCACGGGGTCTGAAGCCCCCCGGTGGCCGGATCGCTCCAGATTCGGACTCGCCGCGGGGCTTGCAGCACTATCTCTTGAAACCAAAAAACAGAGCAAGGCAACGCGAGTCCATGCAATTAAGTGCTTACGGATAGGTCCCTGCGCAAGGTGTCTGGGGACCTATCGATTCGAGCAGTGTGAAACTCAGCGCTGCGATTTCCACGCGTAGAAACGAGACTGTCTGGGATTCTACGGTCCCATGTAAGGTTTATCACGAATATGTAGTCCGAACCAAGTGGCTACTGGCCAAGAGTTTCACACTGCTCGAATTGATAGGTCCCCAGACACCTTGCGCAGGGACCTATCCGTAAGCATTTAATTGCATGGACTCGCGTTGCCTTGCTCTGTTTTTTGGTTTCAAGAGATAGTGCTGCAAGCCCCGCCCGCACACGTGCACACTGTATGTTAAGATCTTAAGATGTCAAGACTTCAAAATTTCAAGATTAAGAGTTTAAGGAATTTAAAATATAGCCCGGATTGAAGGAATTTTATTATATATTTTTTCTTGTTTATGAATTTAAGATTTTCAGATTGCAATAGTTCGAGATTTAAAGAATTTAAGTTTTTGAAGCTTTTTAAGATTCTGAGATTTTAAGATTGTAAGACTTTAGGAATTTCATATTTTAAGAGTTTAAGATCTCAAGATTCTAAGACATAATGTTTTTAAGATTTCAAGATTCGAAGACTTTAGGATGTTTTATATTTTCAGATTTTAAGATTCTAAGTTCTAAGATTTTAAGAGCTTGAGATTCTAAGATTGAGTGTTAGATTTTACTTTAAGATTTTAAGAATCTAAGACTTTAGGATTTTGAGATTTCAATCCAGGCCATTTTCCATCCATTTTCCATCCACTTTAAGATTTTAAGATTTTCAGGTCGCACGTTTTCGGCAAAATTGGCCCGACTTAGGGGACAACATCCCCAGCATCCCCCGCATCACCGGCATCATCCGCATCAATGCCCGCCAAGGATGCGGATGATGCAGGTGATGCCGGGGATGTTGTCCACTATGGGCACCCCCCAAAAAACACTCGTTTTTTGACTCCTCGAGGAGATGCTCAAAAAGCCGCCAAAACTCGCCTGAACAAATCCGGAAATCCTTCGCCCCTTATAAGGGCGGGCCCAGCGCAAAAGTATAGCGCATGGTCGGCAGTGGTCCGCGGCACAGGGCGGCCGGCCCTATACCTGAAGGTAGGCCCTGCGGGCCTAGGCCTTCGGCCGTATCACGGACCACGGGGTCTGAAGCCCCCCGGTGGCCGGATTTAAGGGCTGCCGCCCAGTGCCGCCGACCCCAGTTTGCGGTCAGGGAGCTCTTCAGACGGACAAATGTCAGCACAAAAAATCGTGTATGTATGTATGTATGTATGCATGTATGCATGTATGCATGCATGTATGTATGTATGTATGTATGCATGTTTGTATGTTTGTATGTATGCATGCATGTATGTGTGTATGTAATGTATGTATGTATGTATGTATGTATGTATGTATGTATGTATGTATGTATGTATGTATGTATGTATGTATGTATGTATGTATGTATGTATGTATGCTATGTATGTATGTATGTATGTATGTATGTATGTAATGTATGTATGTATGTATGTATGTATGTATGTATGTATGTATGTATGTATGTATGTATGTATGTATGTATGTATGTATGAATGCATGAATGTATGTATGTATGTATGTATGTATGTATGTATGTATGTATGTATGTATGTATGTATGTATGTATGTATGTATGTATGTAATTATGTAATGTATGTATGTATGTATGTATGTATGTATGTATGTATGTATGTATGTATGTATGTATGTATGTATGTAATGTATGTATGTATGTATGTATGTATGTATGTATGTATGTATGTATGTATGTATGTATGTATCTAATGTATGTAATGTAATGTAATGTAATGTAATGTAATGTAATGTAATGTAATGTAATGTAATGTAATGTAATGTAATGTAATGTAATGTAATGTAATGTAATGTAATGTAATGTAATGTATTATCATGCCTGCATGCCATGCATAGCATGTAATGTATTATGTATGTATGTATGTGTGTATTATGTATGTAGTAATTTATTATGTATGTAAATGTATTATGTATGTATGTATGTATATGCATGCATGTGTAAAATGTATGCATGCATGTATAACTCATGTAAAAATAATGCATTTTCGGCTGTGCTATTGGTTCAAAGTCTCCGCTGTA